CACAATGAAGCAACCTGTATCTGACCCTTCCAGGATTTAGGGGTCAGTTCACCCCCTCATCTTCTCTTCCAGAGATATCCTGACGTTACACACACACACACACACCACAGCACAGCCACAAAATAACCCAGCTGCAATTCCTGAAGCAGCAAACGCCACAGCCCTGAACTACAGAAAGGAGCGAACCAGTTGGAGGAGGAAGGGAAAAAAAACAAAACAAGTCCAAATCAATACATTAAGATGCCCCCTCTGCCTCTTTCCCAAGCCAAAAATCCAAGATCTGCAACGCACAGCAACAGTGGTGCCTTCCTCAGAGCCAGCGATAATTTATTGCAATTGCATCACAACAGGAGATGCATGCACCTAAGTTTTGCTGGTGGGTAGCTTTTTCCCTTGCCTAAGCATGCATGGATAATACAGCTATTTATGTGCAAACAACCTGGCATCACTCGGACAGCTACTGCCTTCCCCTATTTTCCTGAGATCCCATTTAACGCCTCTCAAATCCCTTTTGATCTTAAGCTTCCGAGCGGGTCTTTTGGCCATTTTGCACCCTGTGCAGAATACCCCCCTCCTCCTTTCCCCTGTGCATGACCCAAATTCCAGCTGTACATTCAGTCCCCTGTACAACAGAGAGCGACAGAACATCATGCTCACCTCATTGATTGACAAGAATTGTCAGCGGTTGAGATTGCAAATAAAAGGATTAATCTTGAAGAAAGCAAAAGAGGGGGGAGGAAGACAAGCCAAAGTCAGCAGCCGCCCGTGCAAGGAGCTAGCGCTGGCAGGATGCTCAGCTTTTGAGCTGCTCTGATTACTTTTTTTTTTTTTGCATGTGCAGTAAGAACGATTGAGCCTTCCCTTCAGCTAAAATCATCTGCTTTAAAATGGAATCTCTCCTCCCATCTTCTCTCCATGAGCCACAGTGGAGGGGAAAACACCATAGCCTGGCTCTGGGGGATTTTGGGGAGCTATTTGCCCTTGTATTCTGTAGCCATAGAGAAGCCCCTTAAATCCCTCCCACAGAGGAGGAGTTTCACGATGACAGACAGGGAATCTTACCAATTGAAGCAAAAAGTCACCCAATTTACAGCCTATGGAGAGCTTGGGAGAGAAAAAGGGGTAAGGGGACATGCCTTCCCCTCTAATCCCTGGCATGGGGTGTAAAGTGCACTAGTCCTGTTGCCAGTGCTGAGGCTGGGAACCAGGACTTTTTCTTCAATTGCATGAGGGCGTCCCTCGTCTCCTGACACATCTCGAAGGAATTTGGCTATGTTTGTGACAATTCGGCTGTTAATCTGCTGAAAACACTTTACCGCCAAGATTGTTCCAATTAATTCATATGATTTTATGAGTGTTGCCAACTCTCACGATTTCATCGCAAATATCTGGTGCTTTTTGTAAAGCAGTAGCTCTTGGATTCACATGAATACGTGAGAGTCTTAGCTTTCATGTGAAAACAAAAGTAAGTTTCTAGCCCTCATTTTTTGTGCAGAAAAGTTTGAAAACATGACTCCCTGAAGAATATGACACTAAAAGACAAATAAAAAGACCCTACAAATTTTTTTTAATCTTATGAGTTTGGGGGATGGAGGGGGGGCTGACTCATTTGTTTTGAGAGCTTGAGGTTGGCAATATACAAAATGCAAACTCTTCTGACAAGCCAGCTATCTTTGCCTTCACCAATGGAAAGGAATGTTCTGAAAACAAGGCCTTTTCTTTAATGGCCAGACCAGGCAACTGGGAGCCAGGATTCCTGGGTTCTACTCCGGACTGCTGCCGACTCACTGTGTGACCTTGGATGAGTCACTTTGCCTTTCTGTGCCTCGGTTCCTCTGCTCTGTAAAATTAGGATAATTATATTCATCTATACAGGAATGATTGGAGAATTAATTCTGTTTATAAGGTGCCTTGAGGACATTGTTTGTAAAGTATTATTATTTCAAAGGGAGTGTCTGGATTAGATGGGTGGGGGAAGATGCTGGCCCCTTTATATAGAATCATAGAATATCAGGGTTGGAAGGGACCTCAGGAGGTCATCTAGTCCAACCCCCTGCTCAAAAGCAGGACCCATCCCCAATTAAATCATCCCAGCCAGGGCTTTGTCAAGCCTGACCTTAAAAACTTCTAAGGAAGGAGATTCCACCACCTCCCTAGGCAACGCATTCCAGTGTTTCACCACCCTCCTAGTGAAAAAGTTTTTCCTAATATCCAACCTAACCTCCCGCACTGCAACTTGAGACCATTACTCCCTGTCCTCTTCCACCACTGAGAATAGTCTAGAACCATCCTCTCTGGAACTACCTCTCAGGTAGTTGAAAGCAGCTATCAAATCCCCTCTCATTCTTCTCTTCCGCAGACTAAACAATCCCAGTTCCCTCAGCCTCTCCTCATAAGTCATGTGTTCCAGACCCCTAATCATTTTTGTTGCCCTTCGCTGGACTCTCTCCAATTTATCCACATCCTTCTTGTAGTGTGGGGCCCAAAACTGGACACAGTACTCCAGATGAGGCCTCACCAATGTCGAATAGAGGGGGACGATCACGTCCCTCGATCTGCTCGCTGTGCCCCTACTTATATCTGCTAGCTGTTCCCCCCAACCAGTTTGTATTACACTTAGTATATTATCATGCTGTCCACTATGGCTATAGAAAAGTTCCTCTGACATTTAAAGAATCCAAAATCAAAGAGCAATAATGAATAGTCAATTACCTGTGACAGTAAGTAACTGAAAGTGTGGAACTGATTATTTTTCCATCCAGTAATGAGTAGCATGGAAACAATTCCTGCTCCACCTACGGATCCACGGCTTGTTGTGAATTACATTTTCCAAATCATGTTAACGATTTATTTTGTCTCAAGAACTTCAGATCAAATGTGCTCAGTTTACAAGTAAAACAATGCTTTTTCTAACTACCAGTGCTGCAAAGCTAGTAATTCTGATCCAGATAAAGTGTATCATAAGTGTTGGTAACACCTTGCAGACCTCTCTGCTGGATTCTGGAGCTGAACTGTAGTAAACAGTGCATTTGATAATGTGTGAACGAAAGAGAATGCAGCTCACTCTCTGGTCGGTAGATGCATTGGCTGTGAAGGGCTAATATCAGCAGATATGACTGATACACACAGGAGACAGATTTGTGAAGCAAGTAGATGCAATTCTGAAATTGTCAATTTTCTGACTTCCCCATGTTATTATTAAATTACCCCTTTCCCTGGGCAGCCAGAGCTAAATTAGAACAGGGCTTGATCCTTTCCCCACTGACCTGAATAGTCCAGAGAGAGAGAGAGAGTCTAACAACTCTGCTGCTGGTTCCCATTAACTTGAAGGAAGAGCCATCAAAACAGGGAGTCTTTCAAATAATCCCCTTTTTGTTACTAAAAATTTGAGTTAATAAGTGAAAGTAAAAAATGGTGTATACTATATACTCCAGATCAGCATACAGTGTACCTACATTGGATAATCTGCTCTAGTTTTAATTCCTGCAATAATTCACCAAATAGTTTAATCTGGGGAAAGCATGAATCAGAAAACCTGTGGGATAGAGTAACTGGCCCAAGAACAGCTGCTCTCTCCCTCACCACAGGTAGCTTCATTTCAGTTGGAAGGTGAAATAATCCCTGTGGTAACTGTACAGCACCTTAATGTTTGTGAGGGGAGCACCAAAATGAATAATAATGGATAATGTCGCCTGCTAAATATCACATGACCATGTATTCATGAAGGTCTAAGAATAATCACCCTTCTATAGAAAGTGTCATCTGAAATCTCAAAACTGCTTTACAAAACATCCAACCCCATAACTCCCCTGGGGAAGCAGTAGTATCATTCCGGTTTTACAGATGGGGAAACTGAGGCACAGAGAGTTTTTTTGTTTTAAGTGACTTGGCTAATATCATAGAGCAGCTGTGCAATGGAGGCAGGAACAGAATCCCAGGAGTCCTGGCTCCCATTTCCTCCTCTAAGTGTAAGACAATATTCATCTCCAATTCTCTTTGTTCTTTGGACAGCCCCAATTATTCCAATAACAGGATCAAGGAATGAAAAGCCCCGGTACACAGGCACATGGCCATTTCAGGCATATATCTAGTGAGTGCATAATTAAGTGATAACCCTAAGAGGCCTAGCAATGAGGAAAGGGGCAAAGCATCTCCCGCAGCCATAACGAGCACCAAGCCTGTGCACATTTGTGTCACTTCCCCTGCACAGCCCTGCGCCTCTCAAATCAGTGCTTCAATCCTAGAGCTAACAGAAGCAAAGAAACAGCCCAGAACTGTTGCCAGCAAAATCATTTTGACAGAAAATGTATTAAAAGTTTTTTAACAATCCATCATGGCAAACAGCACATAGCCCTGTGTGTTGTGGTGACGCCAGATACACTAGGGTGGCCAGACATCCTGGGAACTGCAGGACAGTTCCTTGTTTATGAACATCAGTCCCGTGCTTCCATCTCTGTTTCTGAGGGATGAGGGACACTGACAGAGAGAGACGTGATAAGAACAATGGAAGAGATCATATAAATGCAAATTATTATTTAAAGTCAGTTGTATCTAGCAGTTAGAACAGGGAAGCCTGGGAGTCAGGACTCCTAAATTCTACTATTCCTTGCTGTAGGAGCATGTGTGGTCTAGGGGTTAAAGTAGGGGAATGGCATCTTTTCTCAGCTCTGCCATGGCCTCTGCACAGCCTTAGGTAAATCTCTTCTCTGTGCTTCAATCCCCCTGTTTGAAAAATGGGAACACACCTACCTCACAGGAGGGAACGGGGATTGGAAAGTTCAATTCATTGTTTGCAACCTGCTTTGGGTAAGATGTGTAAGGGCACCAGGCACCTCACCACTATTGAAATTAAATGGGAGGTGAGTACCTAACTCCCATAGGCTTTTTAAAAAAAGACACCCTTCAATGCCACTAGATGAAAGGCATGATACATGGATAAGGGATTCTATGAAACATTATTATTGCACAGTGTGTAATATGACAGATGAGGAGCTACTTACCCAGAGGGCTACAGGGGAACATCTCATGCTGTGGTTAAGGCATCACATACAGAAGCTTTGTTTAGCTGATGGTTAATTCAGATCCTCTTCAGGCACCAAACCCTTGTGTTATAAGACACAAAATGTCAACCACTTAGTTTTCACTCACTGCCTTCACCCTAAGCAATAAACAACTTTCAATGAGATCTGGCTTTTCAAAGGTGACTCACTAACTATAGTCTTCATCCTTGTTTATGTGAGACCGCTGGCCTGATTTTTCAGAGATTCTGAGCATCCCCATATTGAGATCAATGAGGGCAGAAGGATCAGGCCCATTGATATCACATGACTTGAACCTCTGGCAGGTCTAAACTCAGGGCTCCAGAGGTGAACAGCAAATCGAAGTAACTTGCTTCACCACACAGGGCCAAGTCCAGCACTTCTGTAAAGTGATCAACCCCACTGAAACGAATGAGAGTTGCACCAGGGTTAAATCTGGCCTTTAGTGCACCATTTAAAAACCAGACTGGGATTTCCGTAGCTGCACCTTGCACCACTGGTTCATACTGGGCCTTTGGCTCCACAAAAGGTTGTGCCCTCTCCTCGCTCACTGGGTGCCCCAGGTGCAAAGGAAATTTCATGCAGGATTCTTTGGCAGGAACTGGAGAGATGCTTTGGGATGGTTGTCCCCACCCTCTCCAGGAAACTCCCACCTCAACCAGACTAAGGCCGCTACCGTGCAAGTCGTTCTATGTGGACGGCCTCTTGTACCTGCACGGAGCGTGCGGCAACTCCGAGCCTCCCGCATCCCTAACCATTTAGGGGGGACAGGGCGAGAACCCAGGAGTCCTGGGTTCTGTCCCAGCTCTGGGAGGGGAGGGGGGGTCTAGGGGATAGAGTGGAGGAGCCGGGAGCCAGGATTCCTGGGTTCTCCCCCTGCTCTAACCCGCTAGACCCCACAGCCAGGGGGAGAACCCAGGAATCCTGGCTCCCGGCTCCTCCACTCTAACCCCTAGACCCCGCTCCCCTCCCAGAGCTGGGACAGAACCCAGGAGTCCGGGCTGCCAGGCTTTAGCCCACAGGCCGCCCTCCTTCAGGGGGCCCGTTTCCATGGCGACCCACGGCCCGTGGGGGGGGAAGGGGAGCCCTGAGGAAACGGGGCAAGGCGGGAACACGGGGCCAGCCGGCCCGGGGCTCAGCACACCCCACGGAGAGCCTCGGCTTGTGCGGGAGAACTACAGCCCCCAGAAGCCCTCGCGGCCTCGGCGTGACACGGAGAACGATATGTCCCAGAAGCCCTTCGGGCGCCCCCAGCCCCGCGTGGCCGCGGGTTGTGATAGGCCCGGCGGCGGGAGCCAATAGGCGAGGGTGTTGTTGGGGGGGGAATGATGGCGGCTTTCCTTACCGGCCGCCTGGGCCGCCTTTGGCCTCTGCCTCCCGCGGGCAGGTAACGCGCGGCTGCCGGGACTGGGTGAGGGGCAGGCCGCGGGGAGGGGAGGCTGAAGAAGGGGGACTGGAAATGGGGTGAGGGGGAGTAGGGCAGAAGAAGGGGGGCGAGGCAGGAGGTGAGGGGGAGGCCAGGGCAGAAGAAGGGGGACTCGGGGGGGGGGGGGGCGGGGCAGGAGGGGAGGGGGAGGCCAGGGCAGAAGAAGGGGGACTCGGGGGGGGTGGGGGGGCGGGGCAGGAGGGGAGGGGAGGGAGGCCAGGGCAGAAGAAGGGGGACTCGGGGGGTGGGGGAGCTGGGGCAGGAGGGGAGGGGGAGGCCAGGGCAGAAGAAGGGGGACTCGGGGGGGGCGGGGCAGGAGGGGAGGGGGAGGCCAGGGCAGAAGAAGGGGGACTCGGGGGGGTGGGGGAGCTGGGGCAGGAGGGGAGGGGGAGGCCAGGGCAGAAGAAGGGGGACTGGAAATGGGGTGAGTGGAAGCTGAGGGCAGGAGAGAGGGGGTGTGTGTGGCTGGGAGGGTGGGGTCCTGGCTGTAGATGGGGAGGAAGGGAGGTCAGAAGCAGTGATGACTATCTGATCAGAGGGGTGCTGTGTGTGTCACTGCATTGGCAGAGCCAAGAGAGAGATGGATGACTGCAGTGCTGGGTGCAGGAGTGTGTTGCCGAAACAGGGCCAGCATCTCCCTTCACTATGTCTGGCTCAAATGAATTGTCAGAGTCCCTTATTTAACCAGTTATACCTCCAAAATTACATTATTTGAATGAAAGTCCCAACCACCCCATCCCCCATACTGTATTTTACACATGGTGCTTAGATTCCAAACTCTGTAGGTCATTGTCTTACTTCCTGTTAACCTCTTTCTATTGTTTTTTCACTCTACCAAGATTCTTTCTGCTGCAGCGTGTCATAGCCTGCCCCTCACAGCCCAGGACAATTTCCATCCTCTCTGATGTTTTGGGGCAGCCTCCGAGCACCAGCCTATCCTTCAGATCTGCAGGAATCTTCCAAAGCATCCCTAGACACCTGTCACCATGGAACCTTCAGCAAATACGCACCAAGGCACGCGGGAATGAATATCAACCAAAGAACCTCAAGCGCAAACGGACCCATGGCTGGATCAAGCGTATTAGAACTCCCAGTGGGATCGAGGTGATCCTCCGACGCATACTGAAAGGCAGGAAATCGCTGAGCCACTGAGTGTTGTAGCTGCAGGATCTGTTGAGCGTGAAATGTTTCAGTCAAGCCTGAATAATCTTCCGCAGCTCAGACCTTTAGAGTGAACCAGCTCGAGAGTTTGCAGTGACATAGACTTCTCTATGAAACACCCATGAGCAATTGACTATTCCCATCATGTTATAAAATGTGGTGAAGAATTATTGAGTGGTACTTTGACAGATGTAGGTTGCTGGTTTTCTTTTCCATTGGCGTCACTAGATGGCTAACTATTTTTAATGGCAAAATTATTACAACTGATGGGAGTAGTTCTAAGGTAAAAATTGTACATCCATGAGGCATAATTACAAAATAATAAAAAATCATATTAAGCTTCCTGCATTAAGTTTGTTAATGCAAAGCTAAAGGGGAAGAAAAACTCTTTTATTTCTCTTTTTTTCTTGTGGGAGTAGCGGACACACTTTCTTCTTTCTCTAGAAACCTAAAGGGATGAGTTTTCAATCTGTGGATGTGCAGTTAGCGTTAACCACAAGACAAGGTCTATGACTATTCCCCAACGTACCCAGCGAACAGTGTGCTATTGACTCCACTCCCCTCTCCCTGTGTTACTCACTAAGGACCCTATCATGCAATGTGCTGAGTGCCCTCAGAGCTGTTTGAAGAAAATGAGTACCTTGCATGTCTGGAGCCTAAAGCAGGCGTGGGGTAGGGTTCTTTTTTCTGTCAGTTTAAGGCCAGATCTTGCAAATTTATATGTGCCCATGAAGAGTCTTGTTGCAGAAAATGGGACTCCAGGCAGCCACAGAATCTACTTGCATAGATTTAATTGCAGGATCTGAACCTAGTGGTGGGGCTGCAGTCCTGTTATAAACTACAGCAGTAGTGCATGTTGGTTTTGCTTTCCTGTTGCTCTGTTAGCAAGAATTCCTTTTGTCACTGGGTAAAGATTCCAATGCCCAGCTTCTTAATGGCACCTGAAGAGCACCCAAACACCTCACTTAGCACACTTTGGCTTAGTTTGCTGCTGTGTGGGGGTGAAATTCACATCTGTGCCCAAGAGCCCATGCAAGGCCTCTCTGCATTGCTTAAGTTTTCCATTTAGTCTCTCAGTTTAACACCCCTTGGAGCATAGGCTTTGCAAAGACCTTCTGTACTGGGGTGTATTTCACACCGAGTGTGTGAGGCTGTGAGAGCCTTTAAGAACAAAATCTACAGTCTATATTCAGGATTCTCTAAATACTTGGATCAAAATGCAGGTTTTGTTCAGTTTTTTAAAAATTGACATTGAATAAAAATGTCCCCATGGTATCTTAATTAAAACAGTTTTTGATTTTAAAAACAATGTAAACATTCTTCTAGGTGTTCCAAATGGAAGCATGAGACAGACTGTAAAGCTGACAAGTTTAAATTTCCCTCTCCAAGTTTAATGCAGTGTGACAAATATGCATGGCTTACTTGAGGAGAAATTAGATGCAAAAACTACCACTAATGCAGCAGTAAAGGTGAGAATCAGGTTCATGATATTCAGGAAATTCCAGAGGTTGAGATTCTACCACAAAGTGAATTTAGCCAGATTAACAATCAATACAGGAAAGCTTGGAGCCACAAAATGCCCATTATAGGTTCCTTACTCTTCAGGGACTGAGCCTGAGATCTCTTGAGCTGATTTTATATACCTTTCAAGATGACCGTTAAAAATGTTGGCCTTGATACTTAAAAATGAAGTAGAGAGGAGCCTGAACCTCTTTGGGACAGCATGTGGGGCAAGGAGTTGGGCCTGTCTGACACAGCTCTCACACATGTCATCTCCTTCCAGAAGTTCAACAATATGTCTTCCTTACCCTGACTTCCTAGCAGCTGGAGGAATTATATGTAGAAGGCTGAGAACACCTTCCTTTTCACCTCAGTATCGGACACTGAAGGTAGCTGGGGGCTAGAAAGTCCCCATGAGCACGAGTCGTGGTCATTGCCAGAGCCCTCAATTTGAAAAATGGGCTCCAGTAAGAGGAAGGTGGTCAGTTTGCTCTCTAGAGTCAGTTGTAGGGGAACCTAAGAGCAGAACTAATAATTCAACACCCCAAACATCTAACCACTCCTCTGCCTATGATAAACAGAATCAGTCTGGCATGATCCCTGAGAGGATTACTAGCTAGTACAATCTTTTATACTGTATACATTCTGTAGCTACTGAGATGGCTGGCTGGGGGAGTGAGTTTGTTTATGGGGTGGGATCTTGCTCTTTTGGTACCTGTTCAAGGAGCACAATATATCTTTTTATTAAAGGTTGTGCACCTCTCCAAAGGCATGTAGGCAGGGTACAGCTTATAAATAGGATTATGTGCTTTCCCCTGATAACACAGCCTCTGTTTATTGCATTTCAGTCATACCTTAATAATGAAAGAGAAACTGAGGATGAAGGAAGCTGGATGAATCAGATGATTGGGAATGGGTTACAGTAGTTTTTCCATTGCAGGCTTGGGACTTTTTGAAACAAAGACTGCCAACTGTACATGATTTTTCAGAGTGATGTGCAAAAATGCCTGCTAGGGCCCAGTACTAAGTTTTTTGTGCAAGGATCTCAAAGTGCTGTGCTAATTATCTAAGCCTCACAACCCCCAGTGGCAGAGAGGTATCATTCTCCCTATTTGTCAGATGAGGAAACTAAGGCACAGTTTGAATTTAAGAAGGGGCTGAGCAACCACGGCTTCCATTTAATGGGAGGTTCAGGTCTGCAGCACGGCTGAAAAAGTCACTTGTCTAAGGCCACAGCTGGAACCAGAATTAGAACTCAGCAGCTTCTCCGTCTCAGAACAGTGTGCAGACACCACAGTGCCTATCTTAAGAGGCCCTGGTGCGCTTTCTTGAAATGAAGGGACTCCTACAGAGCATCATTCCAACCGTGTTTGTAACCCATATGCGGAAAGCAAAGTCCAGTTTAAAGAAACCCAGCAAAACATCTGCCAACTCAACCAGAGAAAGGATGGAAAAAGGCATTAGTAAGAGGCAACTCTGTTTTTATAACATATATTCTTTTTATTTTTTTAATGGATCTTTTGGAATCTGGAGAAATTAGAGGTGGAAGAGACTAACGCTATCAGATCAGTGGCCAGTGCAGAATTGTTTCCCACAGCTTATTTGCCTGGGGTTTGGCAAGTCCTAGTTTTAAATGCCTCCATTTAGGGTACTTCCACTCTTTCTTTCAGGATTAATTTCTCACAGCCTAATAGAATTCTTATCCTTAGGAACTTTCCCCAGTGTTCAACCTAATGTCCCATTGAGCCGTAATCCAAAGTTTTGTATGAGTCGGGTGTCAGCATCTATTCTTCATATATTATTTTTTCTCTGATGTCAAGCTGCTTTTTAGGAGTTCAGCTATCATATTTTAAATTGACCTTTGCTGTAACAACTCCTAGGATATGGGACAGGTTCTCAGGAGATTTTGTCTCAGTTCATAGCTCCTTATTTTCAAAATTAACCTGAAAATGCTGTTTGCATAAGTGTTTTTCAGCGTTAGCCCCTTTGCAGAATGCTTCCTTATTTGTAAAATGTGGACCATTCCCCCAACTAATGGCGCCAGTTCCTGTGGAATGGGTATGAAGATGTCCTCTTGTCCCACATGGAGGGTAATGATGATGGATCACTTCACTCAGTGGCATTGTTAGTGGCAACAAATGTACACCAGGCCACAAAGAATGTAGCACTGGAGATTGACCAGATGATCCTGTCAGCTGTAATTGCTGAACAGGTGGAGAACGCCTGTGAAATAGCTTATTTTTGATTACTGTTTTATTATTGGTTATTGACCATTACAGTCTTGATTTAGGGTCAGATCTGACAACTGTCTCAAGTAGCACTGAACTGTTGTGTATCCCTCCCTCCAGTGTACCTTGTGTCTTTTGTTAATCCTTTTTCTGTTCAGACTGCAAGATCGCTGGTGCAGGGATCTGTCTTATTACATGTCTGTATTGCAATTTGCCTAACACATTTTGGGTCTTATACAAATAACTCATATAGATTATTCAGAGATAATTAATTTGTGACTCATTAGAAATGATTAAATATTCTTGACTTTTGCCCCCATGTTGCAAGCTGCTTCACCCAGGCAGACCTCTGCACCCCTTAACAGGACACTTTGTGGATACAAGGGTTTGCCCAGGGACAGCAGCTTGCAAGAGCAGAGCTTTATTAATGAATGAATTCTTAATTATGAGTGCTTGATAATCAGTTACTTAATATTTCATAATCATAATCACTCAAATTGGTTATTAATGTTTACTGTTTGGAATCTATGGCTAAGTTTGATTAAATGGTAGTGGTTATAAGCCATTACTGATAGGTTATTTCATTATAATTAGTAACTCATAATTGACTAATTATGACTTGAATACTGATTATTAATCACTGATTAATTATCAAGTGTTGTTGAATATATATTATTCATTATTATTATTAAGTTGTTTGCTAGGGTGACCAGATAACAAGTGTGAAAAAATGGGATGGGGGTGGGGGGTAATAGATGCCTATGTAAGAAAAAGTCCCAAAAAAACGGGATGGTCCCTTTAAAAAAGGGACATCTGGTCACTCTCTTAATAATGAGCCATAAATTATTATTGATCCTGACAGCAGTCAATGGCCTCCTTCATGGGAAGTGGGAAGCCAGGTGTTCCTTACTGGGACTACAGCTCCCATGAAGCAGCGCGGCCGGCCCCCACATCCGGGTCCTTTCCTCTTCCTCCCGCGAGCCTTAGGAGCCGGGGCGGGCATTTCCTGCCGCAACCTAAAGGGCTATTTTCTAGGCCGATTGGAGGGACAGGTCCGGTGGCCAATAGACCTGCAGTCGTGGGCAGAGCCACCCAATGGGAGCGTGCGTGTCTGGGCGGAGGGGCGGTGCGAACGAGGAGGCAAGTTAGGCTGAGGAGTGGGCTTTTAGAAGTTGCCGTGCGGCGGAGGCAGCGGCGGGGAAGATGGTAGGTGGCTTGTGCCCCCCCCCCGATACAAAATGGCGGGTGGGGGAGGCGGGGTGCTGGGTCTGGAGCCTCAGTAGCCATGGGGGCTCCCGGGGAGAGGGCCCCGCCCCCAGCCTGAGTGGGGCGAGGCTGGGTCCACGGGCCCCCTTCCCATGGGGTGCGGCCGCCACGGACCCCCCCTCCCCCCGGGCTGGGCTGTGGGGCGGGCGCCCTGGGGCCTTCGGGGGGAGGGGAGACAGCTGCAGCCGCCCTGGCGAACACCCCCCCCCCCCAGCAGCTATGGGCCTCCCCTCTCGGGGCAGAGCCTTCGCCCTCCTGCAACGCCCCCCCCCCCCCCAGTGCCAGCACCTTAGGCCCTTGTTGATAGGTGGGGCTGGGGCAGCCCCGGCACCCAGGGGCCTCTTCCCCCCCCCCATGGGTTTTCCTAGGAAGGGTGTCGGTCCCCTCCCACCTTCCCCCAACGGCAGTTCCTGGGCCTGCTTGTTCAGGGGAGAGGGGTGACTTTGGGGGTGCGGGGCGTGACTGGGGGAGGGGCTGGAGTCCCCTGGTCGCCTCCCCTTGCAGCCGTGTGGCCCTGCCTAGGAAAAGGGCTTCAGTCTTTCCTCCCTGGGCCTGCGTAGCAGGGAAGGGGGCCAGTGATCTCTCCCGAAGGCCTGAGGTGGCTGCGCTCGGGGGTGGGGCTCCTGCATCTGCGGTTCTCCCCGCCCCCGGGGGCCTGGTGGGGCTGAGCGGTGTTGCTGCGTTCCCTCCTTAGGGTCGAGGGGCTGGGGCAAGGATGTCCTCTCCATCTCTCCGCTTAGAGCTGCGGGCTCCAGCCGTAATGGGATTTTTTTGGTCACCGTCTCGGGAAACTGCTTGGGGGGGTGGGGTCTTGCTGACATGGGAGAGGCAGATGCAGCCTTGTCTCTGCCTCCCTCCTCAAAGCAATAGCAGTGGGGAAAGTAGGGAGAGACTCTCCAGGCAGCAGCTTAGTCATAGTTGCATCTGGGGTTCCTGCTATGTCACCTTCCCTTAAAATAAATGGAGAAGCGCCTCAAATTTGAGGATCTGCTTCACTTCCCGACTTCTCAGGACATTCCTCAGCTCTTTTGGTTTGGCCGGGGCATTTTCCCTCTTTGTCCTAAGGAAAAGAGAGAGGCAGAAAGCTGAGATAGAAAAGTTTTTTTTTTTTTTTTTTAGAATCACTTTTGTTTTCGTGCTAATATCTCCATAATGGTGGTTGCCCAGTAAACACTTCACATGGTGTTGGAGCTGAATCATTCAAATAACTTCTGCCCTGGGAAAAAATAGTGTGGTGGCTAGTAACCAGGGAAACTCCAGCTCTCTCTTGCTTGCTCCCATTAGCCTAGAGCTAAGATATCATGGTGCTGCATGTAGTGTTAAATGACTAGCTAGATTCCTTTGAAGTGAGCTGTAGCTCACGAAAGCTTATGCTCAAATAAATTGGTTAGTCTCTAAGGTGCCACAAGTCCTCCTTTTCTTTTAGCTAGATTCCTTGTTGCAGGTGTGTAATTCTCTGGCCTGCACAAGTCTGGTGTCTGTCTCGCATTTATTGTTTTTAATTGGAGAAGCTGAACAATGAAACAAAATCTGCAGACATTATTCCTTTAACAAAAGATCCTGTGTGATTTTCATGCCTTTATCCTATATTTGGACTCTCATAAGACGAGATGCTTAAATGTGGGGACAGCTGTACATAATCTAGTAGGCACCTAGAAATACATTGCCATGAAAGTAATTAACTAGGGTGCCTGCCACCCCCACTTATTCTGGAGGAGTTAGGAGGGAAGAACTGTTTCTTTTGGATGTTTGATAAGGTTTTATTGCCCTCTGTCAAAATGGATTCCAACTGTGTTCTTTACAATAATTGATTCACTGTTTAAATGGCATTTGTACAAAATGTATAATGTGTGAATGGGGGCATGGCAGAATAATTGAAAACTGTTGTTTTAAGCTGTCTTGCACCCTGTCCAAAACAGTGCTAAGGAGTTTATTTTGCATCTCGGAGAAATATTTAGCCCTCATCTTTAAGTACTTATAATGGTTCTCAGGGGGGAAGCAACATTGAGGGGGGAGGGGTAGCTCAGTGGTTTGAGCTTTGGTCTGCTAAACCCAGAGTTGTGAGTTCAATCCTTGAGGGGGCCATTTAGGGATATGAGGTAAAAATTGGGGATTGGTCATGCTTTGAGTAGGGGGTTGGACTAGATGACCTCTTGAGGTCCCTTCCAACCCTGATATTCTATGATTGCTTTTTAATGGATGAGGGGGAAAGTATCCATGTTTATGCACATATGCTGTATGTGATACAATCCCATTTCAGGCCCAGTAGTCTCACTCTTTATGTAGATAGTCTTACTTTAGGACTCATCAGAGCAAAGACAAGTTTTTCAGTTTTCTGACACTGTTTCCTAAAATGACTAGTTTTGTTCTATATATTTTGTGTAAAGTTAAGGAGTGCTACAGAAACGTGTTGATGACTTGGGCTCCTTCATGATTAGAAAGTACAGTTTTCCTCTCACAAACTTTAATTTTTTTCTTTTTACAGTGACTAGTTGCAATTATTGATAGATTCCTTCTTGGTCAGGTCTCTTACAATACAGTTATTTGTAGAAATGGTTTTCTACATTTGCACCTTGACCCAACTTTTCCTTTTGCAGAATCCTTGAAATGTGTCTGCCTGAATGTATCCAATTTTTGAAACGGGGGTTGAGCTGTAGCTTATTAAACACCTGAAGTAGTGTAAAATATTATTTAAAAATAATTACACTTTCAGGGTGGTTGTTGTGTGGTGGGGTTTTTTTTTTTTTGTTTTTGTTTTGTTTTTGGTTATATGCCAAGTAATAGTCTGAGTTCAGTTCAAAGGCTTTTCTGTCCGGGCCTAGCCTAATGTAATGGTGCAAATATTCAGTTTCTTGCATCAAAGTGCAGTGAAAGGCTGAACAAAATTAAATGGTTTGTGGTGGGATATGTTCAAAATTTTCCTCTCTAAATAGAGTAAGAAACATACCTGGGAATTTTGATCAATTCCAATCAAATACTTACTAGCTCTAGTATGTAAGAACTCAAGGTCAATTCTAAATAGAGTGAAATGGGATGCTAAGTCAGTGAAATATGCCTCGATGTTAGTAAGAATAATACTAAGAGGATCTATATCCTTTTCACAGTCATGAAACTTTCCGATTGAGTATTCTGTAATCAGAACCAACCTTGGGAGGCAAATGAAAGAAGCTAAAGAAAGCAGCCCATCAGTGGCAGCATAACAGTTGGAGCACACAGCAGAATCTGAAAACAAGTTTAGGCTCGACTGGAATAGAAATAAAGACCAGCTTAGATACTGCTTTCATTGTGCCAGTCATTCTACAGAGAAACAAGAACCTGCCCTGAAGAGCTGGCATGTGCTAGATAGACAAGGCAGATAAACGGTGGGAGAAAGGAAGTCATATTGTACCCATTTTACAGATGGGCAAGAGAGGTTAGTTATTTGCTCATGGTCGCACAAAGACTCTGTGGCAGAACTGGAAACTGAGACCCGTTTGGTTGAGTCTTAAGTCCAGTGCTGTAACCACAGGACTATTTTTCTCCTAAAAGCAAGCTTGGGAGGGCATAAATTTGGAAACCTTACTGTTGTTAACTTTTCTTAAAACAAGATCAAAGTATAAATAGTGCTTCGAGGCTATCCTGACTGGAGCCTATTGCTTTGAATAAGCTATGACAGTTACAAACAGAAAAGTAATTGTTCCCATTAAAAGAGATTTTTAACTCCTTCCACAACAGTAGCATTGCAGAAGGACTCTATCTTCTTGTTGTGTGTGAAATGGGTTGAATAACTCTGCTCATTAGAATCATCTGCTTCTTTCTGATCTTTAGAGTTGATTCTACACAAGATAATATATTAAGCTTCTATTGTAAGCTCTGGTGCAGGGTCTGTTTCTTTGTTACATGCATGTGTTGTGCCTAGCATAATGGGGCCCTAATCCTTGACTGGGGCCTCTAGGCATGACTCCAGTGCAGATATTAAATCTGTTTTTTGAGATAGGGGTTTAGGCTAGCTATTTTCCTTCATGGCCTTTCATACGTTCATCTATCTTACTTATTTTAAGGACCTACAATTCATAGATCAGTACCCCATGGTAATAAGCACTGTACAAACACACAAAAAGACAGTTCCTTCCCCAAGGAGCGTACTTAATGGCTTCTTGTGATATCTGTCCCCTTGCTTCCTGCTACTTAAAAAATTCAGCTGTTGTCAGGAGTCTTTCTTTTTTTCTAGGTATATTGTGACTGAAGAGGCTTCAGAGTGGTTCTGGGTCTGGCATACTGCTGAGTTGATTACCATACTGCCCCCTTTATTGCTTTTAAGACAAACACCCCTCCATCCATATCGGTTTAGCTTGGTTAACTGTGGGTAAAGGGCCTCTTCAGGGCCGCTGCTGCTGTTACACTGAAATGCTTCCAGTGAGGCGGTGCTGCTGTTGTCAAGTGTGTTACTCTGACTGCTATGAAGGCTGAACCAGACCTACTCAAGAACTTGGGAGTTCTTTGCATGGAAGTAACCACGGATTGTGGGCCTGATCCTGCACACAATTACCATTGACCCTGCACCAGGAGTTACATCTGTGCAAGGGCTACAGGATTAGGCCATAGAGGTTGTGTAGTTCTTTTGCCTTCCTGAGACTGCCTCCTTTGTGTTTGTGCAGATCTAGTAATGGCTGTCAGTTTGACTGTGCATCCTAGGCCTTCTCTGTGCCGAGGATTTTATCTACTGGTGTAGCTATATTGGAGTAGGCCCCTCGTGTGCATATTGTGTAGCGAGTTGCATTGGTAAGTTCCATCTGACAGGTTTACACTACGTATATTCTAGGGGGTTGCCTCAGTGTAGCTACCTTGTTTGAGAACTCAGCTCATTTTAATGAGTAAACACCCTTTTTAGAACAACTATAATGTATTAGGTGGAGGGTTAATAGTTCCGCTGTCAGGTTCCCCCACTTTTCAGGCCCTAACAAAACCAGAGCGTTGGCATTAAGGATGCGTTTTGGCTGTTGAGATATTTTAGATAGATGTCTGCTTGCTACAGGATGGGCAAATTCATTCTTTCCTACTTATTCCCTTTGCTTTACTGAGTACACAGTGATTCAGTATTTCATTGTGCAGTTACAGGTCTGTCTCTAAGTAAAACTCAAAGATACGGTCAAGTCAAAATTGGCCCAGAACTTTAGCAAAGTGAAAGCAAAATAAATGTTTCTGTGATTTTTTTTTTTTTAATTTAATGAAACTTTGCAACTCAAATGTAACAGCATTGTACTAGTTCATATGAGCCAAGAAATCAAAGCTTCTTGTATTTAAAAGTAAGAATGTCTGATCTATTTTCATTGTTCAAGCTGAGGTACAAAAGAGTTTGCAATATAAATAGTAAAAATGTAAATAGCTCAAGTTTTGTTTTAATCTAACCTATCTAAGAGCACTAATTTTCTTTAAATGATTAACTTGACAATTGCCCCCTTTTAAATCAGTCACTATGCCTCTTAAGAGGTGATTTCCCCAGTTTACCATCGTAGTCTTAAAAATGAGACCTTACTGCACCAACAATTAACTAGTTTTGTTTTTGTTTTTTAAAGAAAGCCCTCTATATCAAAATGGATGTAGCTACAGCAAAGCCTTTCACTGGAGATTCATAAAATCACTTAGGTTGGAGAAATACAGATGAGACATTCACATAGGACTGCAGGATTTGTCTTAAGAAAACCAGTGTTCGTTCTGAATATTTAATATCTGATCTCGTAGCTGTCAACATGCTTCCAAATGATTAAAAAAAAAAAACATTATTGGCATATGCAACTCCCTTGATCTTTTTGCTGGTCTACTATTCTAATTCTTTACTTGCTTCATTGTTTAACCAAAGCTGTCTTCTGTCGTTTTAGGCAGATTTTTTGAAAGGCTTACCAGTCTACAACAAAAGCAACTTCAGTAGATTTCATGCAGACTCCGTATGTAAAGCGTCGGTGAGTATTCTATCTAAATGCAGTCTCTCAGGAGATGATCTTGAAGTCTTACAGAGTTGCAGAGGATACTGGTGCTTCATATGGCCTCTAAGTGGGCCTTGGGTCTTTTAAAATAAGTTATTGCTAGTATCATCATGAGCTACAACTGCTTATCTGAGATTGGAATCCCAGGAGGGGAGATTTCCCAGATATGAAGTTAATGTACTTCAGAAAAATTCAATATCAGCAGAGCCAAAGCTGTGTGGCATTCCCTCCCCATGTTTTCCATTCTTAATTTACCAGTGGCACTGGGGCACATATATGATAAATGAACCTCTTTTTACATGTGGAAGAATTTGCAGCTGCGTGGCACAGTGAGACTGTGGTATGCTGCATTGCCACAATTTTATAGCATTGCAGTTGAGATGAACTTGTCAGGACTGGGATTGTTCAGCAGCCTTAGTTGTATGTGGAAATTTTGGGGTTTTTTTGTTTTCCTCTGCACTGTAACGATTCTAATACTTCTACAGAACAGAAGACCGTCAGTATATCTTCCCACAAGGGAATATCCATCTGAACAAAGTAAGTATGCTCCTTCTGTGTTTGAAGCTTCAAGTGATGTGTACTAGAACTTTTATTTTGTGTTTGAGTACGTACCAAATTTTTAATATTAATCTCATTTGATTATTAAAAAAAAGTTTCTGTTTTGTGCTATCTATGTCAGATTTAAGTGCCTCCAAAGAGTACAGTTGCTTAACTTTTGGGTACGCTTTTGCACATCTTTTTCTCCATCCTTACTGAATGATTATAAGGACAATTAAAACCACAGTGATTCTATCACTCCTTTTTAAAAGGTTCACAACCTGTATGAAGTCTTGGTCACTGTAGTTTGTTTTAAATGTTATCTCTTAGAAATGCCTTCAGAGTGTGTTCTCTCTTTCTTCAACAGTCATAGTAACAGAAAAGACTAACATACTTTTGCGTTATCTACATCAGCAATGGGACAAAAAGGTATGACTTTTTTTTAATGTAAAACTTTGTATCTGGTTTTAAAGTGCAGTTTGTTTTGGTTGCTTCTACTGTGTGACCATCAATGCCTATAATTAGTCATGAAAATACATAGATACTAAATTAAGTGGAAGACTGAGCCAACCCTGAATTTCTCAATTCTACCAGAAGGTGCTTGTGACGAATTTTCTATCTGTGGTAGACTTTCTCACTCTTCATATTCTAGAAAGAGGAAAGATGGTCCAATGACTAAGGCAGTAGCCTAGAATTGGGAAGTCTGTTCAATTTTGCCACACTTTCTGCATGACCTTGGGCAAGTCACTTAACCTCTTTGTGCATCAATTCCTTGTCTGTAAAATGAGGAATTTTTGGGGCTATACTTGAGACCATAGTCCTTTATTAGACTGATAGTACAGAAGACTGGGAGCCAGGACTCCTGGGCTCTTTTTCTGGCTCTGCTGTTGACTCCCTGGGTGCCTTTGAATGTATTATTTCCAGGTACTCATCTGTAAAATCCTATATCTTGCTTACCTCACAGGGTCACATGAATAGTACATGCCAGGTGTACATGTGTTATAAAAAGTTCCTAGCACGCACCCTGCCTCTGAGTTTGTGCTCTACAGGCACAAGTGGGTACAGTACAAGATGCACACAGTGAGGAATGGTCATAGCCACAAAGCTTCCCAGAGCAGGTGTAACTTCAGAATGTGTGTGTTTGGGAAGAGTACATGAAGGCTGCTCCAGAGGTACAGAGCAGCAAGAAAGAAGGTCGGAGGCTGGGAGTGGGTAAAGGGAGCAACTGAGAGAAGTTTTGGCAAAGCATAGAGATGGAGGAGGAGTTGAAAGGAGAAACACAGATGGGAGCAGAGTTGTCAGGAGTCTGAAGCTGATAATGAGGTGCTTCAGAGTGATGATGGAAGCCAGTTGGGAGGTTTGAGAAGTTCAGAGACTGAATCAGAGCAATGGGAGAAAAAGAGGGTCTTATTAAAGTTTATAAAGCACTTGAGATCCCTGGAGTAAAAAAGAAGCTAAGAACAAAGGATTGTCCTTTAGCAGCCCTGCTGGGGCAGGAGAGCATTTTAGAAGAAAATTCAATATATAATATAGTTCAGCTTTGGACAGAACTCTGGCGTTCTTCAGAAGATGCCTCTGCTAGTTCATATACATCAGCATCTTCACTCCCAAACACCTTTACCAACTCTTTATGCAAGATGCATCATTCAGTACGGAAATGTAGCCGTCTCTGGAGTGGAATGTTGTGGAGGACTTCACTGATGTACCTTTCTCTTTGCTTCAATCAGAATGCAGCAAAGAAGAGAGATCAAGAGCAAGTGGAAATAGAAGGTGAGAATTCGGCACCACCACGGAAAATTGCTCGGACAGACAGCCAGGACATGAATGAAGACACTTAAACTCTTGCTCTCTCCTACACTATTTTGCAGGCGCTTCCTGTTTTGTCTCAAAATGTGTAAATTTCCACGCCCCTTCCCCCCACCCTCCACTATGCAGCCCAAACCACTTCAGACTTCATAGGAGCCAGTGTATTTATTTTTTCTCCAGTTTTTATTTATGCTGTAAAACTTACGGAGCAATCGATGGTGGAACAAGTCAGCAAATGATGTGGTATAAATTTAATCCTTTTTAAAAAAAAAAAAACATACATTATCACTTCTCCAGATTTTGTTAAACTTGTTGCTTAATTAACCCAGTTTGCCATGGAAGCCTGGAGAGGAGACATGAATTTACGGCATGCAAATTCCAGTGGTATAGGCTTTCTGATCCATATGCCCACTGGTATATTACAGTCGTCAACTCTGTATTGGCTGTACTCAGTCTAGCAGTAATTGGGGGGAGTGGGGGCGGTCTCGTCCGCTCTGAAATGTTAATTCTAAAATCAGCATTGTACTGAGAAATCCCAGGGGTTATTTAGGGTTATGCTGATCTTATCAAACGTGGTCATCTTGATAGAATGGTTGTGGGTTTTTTGTTCGGCAGCATATGTTATCACACACATCAATGGTCATGGAGAATTCAAGTGACAGGTGTGTTGCTTTGGTTGCTCTTACATTTTAACAGTCTTTTGGCTTGAATGAACTGGTATGTGCAACTTCTCCATTGGAATAAAAAAGGATACTTTTATCCTACTGAGTATTTGATCAACAGTGTCTTTAATGGCAGCAGGTGGAACGGAATTGGTAGGTCTACCTTGCAAACTTGTTTGTTAAATTTGAGAATCAAATTGGGTACAGCTTGGCCTCTAGATTGGCTATTTCCTTTCTCTCAACCAGTGATTCTGAAAAATCGTACACTGCATGACGAGCTGAGTCCAGGACTTCTGGATGCAAAGTAGCTGAACAAAATGAGCTTCTACGGTCTATATTAAAGGCAGACCCTCTTTCATTTGGACAATGACAGTTCAGTGCCTGTCACCTGTAACCCTTTGCTGACTATCTTCAGTAGGAGCCAAATACAAAAACCTTCAAGATGTCTAAGTGGAGTCAAAGGAAACCAGCATAGTTGGTTGAAGGTGTGTGTGTATCTCACTATTGACTGTCCATTGTGCTTTTAATGTGAAAAGCTGAGTGTGTTATTTTTAGGTTGAAATCTAGATTGTTGCCTTCCGTTGCTCTTTTCCCAGCATCTCTGCTCATCAGCAAACTGTAAACAAACTGAGTCCAGAAGCCATGTGAGCCTCTTTCTAGAAAACCCTGAGTAAGCCTAGTTCTGTAGGGAGTTTGACCATGGGTGGTTAAACTCAGACGAAAGACTTGAGGCTCATGCCGTCACCTTCACTACTGTGTCCCAGTTAGACCAGGGGACAGAGCTTGCTCAGAATAAAAGCATGATGAGAGTGAAAGCCATCAGCAGCACAGTTTATCTTATGAGACAGGACTTCAAGAGGAGCAGGACATAGCCTCGCTTATTGCTCCATTTTTACAAGTATGTACAAGGCGCTAAACTCTGATTCTAATATTAGTCATCTCACTTTTTCAGTGAAGATCGTTAAGTTACTTAGACCTAAAATTGTACCTGCCCTTAACATAGCTACGTTTTGCTGCAGCAGTGCCCCTCCAGATTATCTGGTTAAAACACCAGCTGTGTTGATAAGGACAAAAATATGGTTTTACAATTTTATGTGGTCGACTGGCAATTACAGCTTAACAGAACTCCTTTTCCCAGAGCTGTGCTGCCAAAAAAGATGCTGGCATGTGAAATGCAAGAAGTAAACGGAAAATGCTTTGTTAGCTTCAAGGGCATGTTAAAAGGTTTGTAAGATACCAAAGGAGGAAATGGGTGTAGTGCTGATGACAAAAGTTTAACAAGTGCTGTGTTTTTAGCTACATTTCAGGAGTTCCAGCCTCGTTTAAGTGCTGTTTAATTCCTTACTAAGAATTTGGAGCTTTGCTGGCCTCTCTGCTACAGCGAGTGAGGTACCATTAAAGAGTTGGCAGTTCCATCCTGTTCGATACCCCCATCTTTGTTCCCTTTACAGTAAATGTGACCTTGCTGGTAGCGGAGCCTTTGAAATCTTACAAATAAGGATTTTTTTGTTTATTTTACCAAAAATCTCTGCAATTCTCACGCTCTTAGAAAAATTTATTTGGCAAAGAGGAAAAAAAATAGTTGTCTTTAGTTTCCTGAGAGCAAGTCTGGAGCAATGGGGGAAAACCCCCCTGTCCGTCCTCACCCTGTCCGTCCTCAAAAGTTCTTGAGTGTCCTTTCAATCAGACTATAGCATTTTGCTTTTGATGTTGGCTATACACAAGCAGCATGGACTTCTGATGCTCACAAACAGGTATCTTTGTTGCATTTTACTGAAAGTTTTGATAGTCTTGCTCAACTGGTCAGAGTTATCTAATCTGAACTGAAAGCCTCCTCCCTCGCCATCCAGTTTCCATGCTGCTAACTGCTTAAAAATGTCACCCTCAAGCTGCCACACGTTCAGAATGTTTCCACTGCTGTTTAATACATGTGTATCGGGTTTGTGTTGCATGTGAAAACCCTCCAACCCAACTGACTATCTGGTGTCTTAGGCAAATCGTACATTAAACAGAGATCCAGAACTTCTCCAACATTGTTCACTTTGTATAATATGTAGCTCCTCTAATACTTTCTGATTATCCTGTTACGAAGTGACTGGGATTTAGTGACCCTTAACTGGTATTTTGTATATGTCCGCATAGTGGTATTTTTATGGTTTCTAGTATTGATGTATATTGTACAAAGTTTTTATAAAACTTTAGAAGCTTGTCAAAAAGATCAGAAGAGAATTTTTGGAGTGACTAGTGTGACTTTTAGCAGGAACATATTTCACTCTTTATTTCAATGAGAAGTGCAGAGGATGCTGAATCCTAGGAATAGCCTAGCAAGCATCTGCTCTCCCCTGCGAGGCAGATTGCTCCTGTACTGGATAGCATTGAAGTTTGTGCCGTCTCTCTGTTTAGTAACCCCTCAGTGCGATTGGATGTGATGGGTAAATCTGTTGTTTCAATGGTAGCCATTGCCTTTTTTTTTCTTTTCTTTTTTTTTTAACAAAGACTGGATGTAGTGGGTGTTATCACAAGTTTAGTGACTGACGAGGCAAAACCAAAGATGTCTTAAACTAACTCCAGATATCAAATGTTGACTTCAGAGGAGTGTTTGAAGGGGTTTTATTCTCTTCACCGCCCTTGACTCGTAAGCAACTTTAAAAGGTATTCAAGTTTGAAAGGGAAGTTGTTTGTTTTTTTTAAATAAACAAACCCTTGGAACATGTTCCATTCCAGTGATCATAAGTGGTCACATCTGCTCTGCAAAGGCCCTATTTATTTGTATGGGTGGTTGGTTCTTCAGACTTGCTGGTTGCTTTATTTTATCTGTGTACGTTACTGAACACAGATAATGTACACATTCAAGCCATTTCCCTAAGCAAACACAGGGACATACAAAGAGATACTGCTGAGGGAGGATGATCTGTTTTGAGTAAAACTGGCAGGCTGGTAAGGGACACTACTGTTGGTGCTTAGAGTCTGAAAATGTTTTCAAATGCAGGTACCCATAAGAGCACTGAATCCATACCCGGTTACAAACCAAGCTACAATGGAGATCAGAAACATTGTGAAAACCCTGCTGGACAGGGTGTGTTTGTGAGGAAGAATCGACCAGCTCCTCTGTCTGTTTAAAACTTTGGCTAGACTATGACCTATTTTCCCAGCCTAGACAGGGCCTGAGGGTTTAGCATAGGTAGGGTATGTCTATGCTGCAATTAAAAACTCACAGCTGGCTTAGCCTAAGGGGCTGTTTAATTGTGCTGGAGCCCAGGCTCTAGGACCCTGTGGGGTAGGAGGTTCATAGAGCTCAGGCTGTAGCCCAGACATCGACACCACAATTAAACAGCCCCTTAGCCTGAGCCCCACAAGTCCGATCAGCTGGCATGAGCCAGCCTTGGGTCTAATTGCAGGGTAAACGTACTCTTTTTAGAGGGCAGGGTGAAGATTCACTAGTACTACTAAAATGGAACTGTGTTGTGACCAGGTTCAGTGGCAACCGCTGGTCCTCTGGCACTTGTAGTGTAGATTGGGCCTTAAGTACCAAACCATACAAGCTGAAAGCATGTTCAGAACCAGGTGCTGAGCGTGGTTCTGGCTGACCTGGCAGAGTGGCGTGTAATTCTTTGAACACTGTTTACTATGCTCTGGAGCTCCAGAGAAGATGAGGGCCTATGTACCAATCTGAATGCTATTTGCAGTGTTCAAAGAAATTTCTTGTGCAGTCAGTCACTTGGGGTTTTAAGCCTACTGAATCAAAGTACTGATTTTTGTTTGCTCTTGTTGGGGGGCTACAGGGTTTAGAAGCTCCCGGATTCTTGTTGGCTGGTGTCTCTCTTTCTCAAGGCATCATGATTCTTGTGCCTTATACAGTAATTCAGTTGTTAACACTTGGACTGTTTCCTGTCTTGAGGCAGAATTTTGGGGGCTTGCTGGAAAAATCCTAAATCTGCTTCTGCAGTAGCTAGGATTACTTCAGAGGAGCTCATTTCAGAATATACCTTTTGAAAATAGATCTGACTAAGCAGAAGCTGATGATGTATATCATGGACAGGCCATACAAATGGGCCTCAGTCATAAGCAAAGCTGCCATTTACCATCTAGCATTAGTATGTTTATACCACTAATGTGACTTTATTTTTCTGTTTAAAAGAGATGCGTCCTTTTCTTTTTTGGTGGTTTTTGTTTTTTGCAACTATGCTTATTATAATGGCCTTTTCTTTCCCTGATTTATTGACTGGCATCTGGCAGCTGGGAAGTCATGCTACACTATGGCTTTGACTGGAAGGATTCTTGGTGATTGTCTTCTGTAACTTTTGTGTGTTATAACTTCCGATGTATAAAAAGTATGTGTGATTTTTGTTTTTAGTGGGCCATGTGTGGTTGGGGGGGGGGTGAGGATTAGGTTGGTCAAGGTGCCCAATAAAGGATACTGTATCATTTGTTTACTCAAGCACAGACTATCCTTCATACCATATTGAATGCACATTCAGCAATCTCCACTTGGCTGGGTCACAGATGTATGCTTGTCCTCCTTGTAGGGGAGAATTTAGTCATGGAATCTCATCTAGAGATTTATATGGTTTGGAGCACTGTTTAGTACCACTAACTTGCTGAGAAATGTGGGACCAAAGCAGCATTTGCAGGTGGGCTGCTTGACTTCCGTATTGCCAATGGCAAGCTTATGCAGAGTGGATGTGCTCATTTGCAGGTGGGCTGCTTGACTTCCGTACTGCCAATTGCAAGCTTATGCAGAGTGGATGTGCTCATTAGAACCACATTACTGGCTCCCTGGATTACTCCCATTTTACATCCACCTGCCTACATTTCTCATTTGAGAGGCCAACAGCTTTGTAGCTGTCTCCTGCATTACTGCTGACCTGTGTGTTCATGGATGTATGTGGATTCTTCAGTGGAGTTCAACATCACACTAGCAACATTAGAGTTGAACTTACACTTTTCTGTTCATTCTAATTTCCTTGTTACAAGATTGGGATGAATATTTCCTTTAGGTGTAGAGAGGGTTGAGCTTGGTCTGTACAAGACAGCAACTTTGTAATTATGACTTTAAAAGTGGGAATGGACAAACGCCAACCTTCCCATTTGTTCTGCACTAAGATTTTATTTTATTTTTTTTAAAGCAAAGCTGTGCTCCCTGCCTGTGCCTGGATGTGGTGAGTGAAAAGATTAATCATATGTACAGATTGGCCTTTTCATTCAAATTGGTGCAATTCCAGTGATGATTCTTGGGTTCTGTAGAAGGGCAAACTACTACTGAAGGTCTGAATGTTTTTTGGAGGAGTCCTGGTGGACTTAATCCTTTATGACTGAGTTCAGCTTTTATCAGTGTAAACCTGGGAGTCGCTAATCAGCTGGAGGGATAAAAGGGCCATGTTGTCAAAACTTTTTTGCTTTTTTCAACTAAAAATTAACTGATGGCAGAGGTGGGGTGGTTGAGGAAATCAAATGGCATGAGTCAACCCGCACCTCTGTGGTCCTGGGTTCTAATGCTGTTCAGGCCACCTGTGTACAAACGAAGTTTTGTGTGTCACTATCTTTTTGTCTCCTCTACCAGACAAGCACACACTTCAACTCAATTGGCATTCTGTGGTGAGAGATGAACATCCAGACTAGAATAGCCATCATGCTGGGAGGATGAATCTGCCTTAACAATGAGCTGTGCATGGTGGGGAGGTTAGCCTGCGCTATATCTGGCTGGAGTTACTGCTTTGGCGCTCTCACGTCCGTGAAAAAATTTAGTTTTGAGGGTGAATGGAAATCCTCTTGCTGAGTATATAGTCATGACTTTTCACTGGCCAGCTCGTTGCTTCCCATATTATGAATACTACATTGATAACTGGTCCCTGTAGCTGTCCAGTGCACCCCAGTGCTGTAATCTTGTGGCTGGTTGTTTATAACACAAATCTAAATGTGCTTTTCTTCCTTTCGGAAGTGGGGGGAGATCTAACAGTGTAATCAAATACTCCTTCCTTGCTTTGCTAAGTAATGTGTGTATAAAATGGATATCTTCATCCCTGAGATACTAGCAAAGATTGGCCATTTAGTTATTTAAATACACATGCATACTTGTTGGAGGAGGGCAGAGTAAACTACTTCACTCGCTAGCCACCTGCTTTGTTCTGCGATGATGGCTGTCTAGCTTGGATTGCAGAAGAGTCCTGACAAAAATGGATATTGATTCTTCACTTAGAAGAAGAAGTTGCAGAAAATACTGCCATGCAATCTGAAGGAATGATCCGTGGTGCTTATCAGCACTGTCACCGTGCATAGTACAGCTGGGCTGGACTTTCAAATACATGTGTTTCTTACGACTTAGTGCAATGTGTATAGTTAAAAAGGCTTTACTGGGTTTTTTATTAAGACTAATCTTAGTCTCCTTGGTCAGTTGCATGTAACAGATGAATGTATGGGATTGGGCCTTATCTTTCTAGCCATCCCAAATTGCTTTTACGTCCGTTACAGTCTGTCTGGAATACAAAATCCCAGGGTGATTTTTTGGCAATACACAGTGTATCCCTTGGAGCCTGTATTACTTACAGCCTGTCCTTCTGCTTGTGGACAAGAAATACCTGCCGAGTTCCAACTCTGCCTCTTCCCCCTTACTCTCTTTGCAAACACTGTGTCTGTGGGGCAGGGGGCAATGTGTTCTCCTGAGGAGTTGTGTGGCGATAGAGGGGCTGCTGTAATGGAGCGACTGTAAATATTCTGTTCTAGTTGAATGTCACAGCTGTTGGATTTTGCATTTATTTTTAAACTATTTCATGTTTGATACTGTGTATAATAAATTTGCAGAAATTAGAGGATTAGAATGTTTTTCTTTCCCATTTCTCCTCTACCATTTTTACTTCAATAGGGTGAGACTGCTTGCTGCCTGAGTGCCGAAACTGGTACATGAGTGACTGTTGCACTCCCAAATCAAGCTTGATTTTTTAAAAAAATGCTATATTTCTGTCCCATAACTTTACCGTGGGTGTGAGTGCACAGAATAATAGGTACACATGGAAAACAGAACTGTTACTGATAGAGCTGCTTGCAAAAACAGTGAAGATTTTCCATGGGAAAACCCAGTTCAATCAAAATCAAAACACTGTGTGAAATTGCCAGTTTTGCAGAAAGTTTGATTTGGAGGGAAAAAGCAGAAAGAATGCAACAGCAGTGAAACGTTCTGAACGAAACATTTCTTATAGCAACAGAACTTTTATAATCTGGAATACAACAAATTCAAAATGAAAACAGTCAAATGAAAAGTTCTGACTTTTTTGGCCTAAACAAAACATTTAGGTGGATACAAAGCAGTTAAAAAAAAGCTACCAATGTTAGGAATCATTAGGAAAGGGATAGATATAATAATGCCACTGTATAAATCCATGTTACTCCCATACTTGAATCCTGCATGCAGTTCTGGTTGCCCCATCTCAAAAAGGATATATTCAAATTGGAAAAGGTACAGAAAAGAGATACAAATGATTAAGGGTATGGAACTGCTTCCATGGGAGATTTAAAAGACTGGGTCTTTTCAGTTCGGAAAAGAGATGACTAATGGGGGGTTTCACAGAGTTCTATAAAATCATGACTGGTGTGGAGAAAGTGAAGGAGTAACTGAACACTTCCTATTCATCTAACACAAGAACCACGGCTCACCCCAGGAAACTAATAGGTAGCAGGTTTAAAACCAAACAAAAGGAAGCAGTACTTCACACAACGCACAGTCAACCGATGGAGCTCGTTGCCAGGGGATGTTGTGAAGGCCAAAACTATAACGAAGTTCAAAAAAGAATTAGATAAGTTCATGGAGGAGAGGTCCATCAACAGCTGTTAACCTAGATGGTCAGAGATGCAAGGCCGGGCTCTGGGTCTTTGCCTCTCTTTGCCAGAAGCTGGGAGTGGATGATGGGATGCATCACTTGATGATTACCTGTTCTGTTCACTCCCTCTGAAGCACCTGGCATTGACCACGGTTGGAAGACAGGCTATTGGACCATTTGTCTGACCTGCCGTGGCCTGCCTTATGTTAAAACAAAATTCTGTGTACATTTTTTGCTGAGAACTTTGAAATTTGTTTCATTTTTCAATCAAAATGAGAACAAATTTCAAATCCTCTGGAAAGAGCATTCTGTTCTCCACCTAGCTTTAATTATTACTTTTCTTTGTGGGTGGGTGGGTGAAGGCCCCTAGAAATGTCACGCTGTAGCTTCTCTATTCTGCCGTGCTCCAAGTGTCCTGCTTCCGAGTTAGAAATGGCATTTGGAGCAGGGCAGAAACTGCCCTTCATCCCAGATATGTTTTTCCTTGTTAGCTGTAGAAGGTGGCCGCTCATACTTTATTTTCTATTAGTGACAATCTAGGAATTGAAGCTAGATCACCAGTGTGCTAACCCCTTTATCGCACAGTACAAGTTATGCACTGAGTATATCTTGTGACTTCCTCCTATCCCTTTTGTCTGTTGAGTAAACAAGGTCCTCCTGCATTCTCTTCTCCTCTGCTCCAAGCATATTTATAGCAGTGTTATAACCTGCTTCTCAGACGGAAGAGACAGGAAGCACTGTTTTATTTATTTATTTGTAAGGTATAGAATAGTCATGCCTTTCTCAATGGTTACTCACTCCAGTCTGCCCTGCTCTCTGGTGGAGCTAGTGGCCTGCTGGAGCAGTGCTGGCGGGCTGTAGAACAGAAACTTACATTTCCAAGGTTGATATCGTCCCTTATTCCTAGGGGCTGTGGTGACCCCTACTAGTCTTAGGGAGGATGCAGAAAGCTCTTACATAGGCTTATTGACAGGGCTGCTATGTACCACTGGTCCGGGGCCTACTGTGGATTTAACTGTTTCATGGTATAGGTGGAGGCAACCTCATCCATAGGGCACATTTCCATGCGCAAGCCTGTAGCTTCTGCAACACCATCAGAGTTAATGTGGCTTTGGCTGCAGGGGAGGAAAGATTGGGAAGTGCAAAAGTGATGGGATACATTTGCCCCACTTTGCCCCCAGGATCACTAGGCCACCTGCTGCAAGTCACGAAGTATCAGCTTTGCCTGCCCCTCCGTCTTTTGGGCTACCCTTAGCCAGCTGTGGGTCCCAGAGGCCTTGGGGGAATGCCCTGCGAGTGCATCTGTTTGGGGAGCCAGGAGGTAGTGCTTGGAGGCCAGTGAGCAGCCAGCGGCTCCAGTGCTATCTTGGTGGGAGCTGTGTGGTTTCTGTGCCATGATGAGGGCCTGGCCAGAGGCCTCTGGGGACATGCTGCTGAGGGGCTGGCAGCCTTCCAGATGGAGCTGGCTGGGCCTGGTCAGTCCATCCCCCCAGGGGGTGTCCTCCAGTCCAGGGTGGGGACAGCCCATGAGAGAATGGGGGTGGGGTAAAGAGGTCAGCGTTGCCAACTTCTGAGTGATTTGGTGTTTCCCTTTAAGCCCCAGCTCCTGGAGGCAGTGGGTTTGTGGGGGGAAGGATCTCAGATTTCATATATGCCAAAGAAAAGTTTCCAGCCCCTGGCTGGGGAGACTGCCCCCCCCTCTCCAAAAATGGGCTTGGTCATCAGGAGGCAAATAACCAGAACCCTGCGTGTGTGACATTAAAATCTCATGGTTTTAAGGCAATTTTGTGGGGGATAGATTCAGGATTTTTGAATCACTGGGGTTGGCAGTCCTGGCTTCTAGCCTTGTGTGTTCTCACTGCTTGGGGCAGGATAGGAACAAGACCCATGGCTGCCCTGGCACCTATTCCCCTTTGTTCCTGCTGTGTTTGACATCAGTAGGGAAGGGGGGGCACAGAACAGCATGTCCCACATCTTGCTTCTTCCTGGGGGGAAAATCAGGCCCTGAGCTTTCTAAGTTTCCTTATTATCCCTGGTTTTACAGCTGGGGAAACTGAGACCGGCCAAGTGGAAGTGACTCACTCAAGGCTATTATGAATCTCTGGCAGAGCTGGGACTAGAACCCAGGAATCCTGACTCCCAGTTCTCTGTTCTAGCCCCGCACTGGGCTGCCTGCCCCAGTGCTTGGACTGACCCCACAAGTCCTGGCTCCCACTCCTGCATTTAATCCAATCGCCCTCAAAACAAAAGCAAACTCGCGGGGCTTCCTCAAGGAAAACCCTTGAGGCAGACTGAGTGACCTCTCAGACACGGCCGCCCCCTCCCTATGGTACTCGCACCTTTCCCCTTCTCACGTACATGCACGTACTCAGAAACCTATGGCCTACATTATGCAGGTCAGGTGAGATGATCGTCAGGGTCTCTTCTGCCCTTACATCTGCTAATCCTGTGTTTATTATCCTCACATGGCGGAAGCTATTGGTGACAGCCAATAGGACACTGGAGACCTCTACTAACCAGGGCATAGGAACAGAAACCGGGAGAAATGATTCCCCGGAGCCGACGCAGCCTGCAAACTGTCTAGTTGATTCAGCAGATGGCAATAGTCATGTTTGTTGAAATATATTTTTATTGCATTTCTGCAGGTTTTACAAAAATATGACAAAAAGAAATAAATAATCCCTTTATTTTTTAAAATTTCAATTGAAAGAAATAAAACAGCAAAAAAAACCCCAAACTCTTCACTCTTTGTACAGTAATTGCCCAGGAAAAGAAAGACACCAGACAGCCAGATGCTCATATAAATATGTTTATAGATAAACATGTTTTAAAAATTCCCTGGACTGCTGGGGGCCTGGTAAGTGGCGCTTGTAGGATATAGTTTCAGGAGTGTTACTCTCATGTGAACATAATAAATAAGAGCTCGCTCCTTTTAAGACCAGCGTGATTTAAACAATGACAAACACAAGAGTTGGCTTCAACAAACTGAAGGTGGATCATTTATAAAAACAAGTTAAAACGGTGTTTGAATACAAAGCCACCTTGGGGTTTCCTCCTCGGACTGCCCGTGGCACCAAGAAGTTGAGGAATGACTTTGCACCATTGCAGAGCAGCTCCTCCAGCTGTGGAAGGGTTCCTGCTTAGCTCTCAGCTCCTGGGATGAGTGGTGGGAAATAATTGGAGGGGTAGAGAATCCTTGGGACCTCCAGAGGGGAGAAGATCGCCCTCTGGAAAGGTGATAATGTTGGGTGTGTATGATAGTCATCAGAGAAACAGTGTTAGGAGGAACCTCACCACCCCTGGTGCCATCCAGACCTTAATTTAGTAGAGCTAGGGCCAAAGTCTGCCCTGGTGGGATCAAAGAGGTTGGAAGGCAGGGCAAGATTTGGGCCCAGGTTTTCTGTAGGGCCACAAAGCCCAGCTGCTGGCATGGGATCAGCATCGCTGACAGCCAAGAAATAAGCTAGTGACAAGCATTTCCTAGGAGTGTAGCAGAGGCAGATGGAAAAGGCCTCTTAGGTTACCTCTTTCATCCCACCCTTGGCCTTGGGATGGAGTTGGGGTGTCTGGGAGGTTCTTTGGGGTAATGTGAGGTTGGGGGGTGCTCTCTCCCCACCTTTCATCCCACAGCTGCCACCGCTCTGCTCTCTGCTCTCTGCTCTCCATGGCAGCTGAAAGAGGGGACGTGGAGAGGCCAACTTGCTGTCTGCGGCGCAGGTGGCAGCCAGGAGGAGTTGCTACAGCAGCTGTTCCCAGCGCCTGCTGGATTTCTGATCCCCAGTCACCACGGCCTCTTGGCCCCCTGGAATCCCAGGTTCCCATCCTTCCTGCTCTTTCTGGGATTGTCCCAATTTTTCTTGGGGTGACCCTGTGTCCACCCCCCACCCCAAAGCACCACGGTGTGAGACAGTCACGGCTCCTGCCGTCTATCATGGGACCCAGGACGCATCTGTTGACATGATGCCAGGGCTGGGTCCCTGGGCTGACATGCTACAAAG